GGAAGATGGAGTGTGGGATGAGGAAGGTGGGGTGGGGTTGATTTTTGGGAAGAGGAGGGTGGGGGTGTGAATGGGGGGAAAAAAGGGGGAGGGGAGAAGATAAGATTATTGTTGTTGTTGTTGTTGTTGTTGTTGTTGTTGTTGTTGTTGTTGTTGTTATTGTTGTTGTTGTTATTGTTGTAATTGTCATTGTTCATTTTTGTGTGTTGTTATTGCATTTGATGTTGCTTCTGTTGCAGTTGTTCTTTTTATTATTGTAGTTATTGTTATGTTTATGTCAATTCAATAGTTTCTGACGTTGTTGCTATTGCTATTGTTGTAATGGTTATTGGTGTTGTTGTAGTTGTTGTTGTTGTTGTTGTTGTTGTTGCTGTCGTTGTTGTTGTTATTGTTTTTGTTGTTGAATATATTTGTGTTGCTGTCGTTGGTTCTTTTTGTTGGGTTTTTTTCAGTTCTTTGGGGTGTACTTGTATTTGTTGTTTTGTTATTTTTAGTGTTACTAAAGAAGAAGAAGAAGAAGAAGAAGAAGAAGAAGAAGAAGAAGAAGAAGAAGAAGAAGAAGAAGAAGAAGAAGAAGAAGAAGAAGTTAATCTCTTAAAGAGATCATAGACTGAGAACAAGAAAGACCAAGATACTGGATAGAAATTTTCTCCTCACACCGGTACCGAACTCGAGTCTCCTGGGTACGGCAGCGAAGCGCCTAATCACAACGACTAAGAAAGCTTCCAATGAACGCCGTTTCAGAAAAAACCCTTTTCTCAATCTCACTGTTGTTCTTTGTAGTTGTGATCCTAAGGATTTTGTTCTCCATTGTTATAACTTTGTATTCTGATTGCCGCTGTTGCTGGTGTTGTTGCTGCTGGTGCTGTTGCCGTCATTGTTGTTGCTGTAGTTATTGTCATTATATTGCTATGTTGTTGTTCTTGTTCTTCTGAACTCCCAACTTAACACAGTGTTGATTATTTCAAAGGCTCCAGATCAAAACCACGCGGGTTGAGAATGAATCAGGAAGAACGATTTTAAAATAGAACCTTGAAATTTCGTGTTATAAATAACTTTTAAAAAACATTTCTCCACGAGAGGCTCCTCCAGTAGATCTAAACGAGGGGTTAAATGCTTCCAGTTCTCAACATGATTTGTATTAGCACCATATTATTATTTTGCTCCTTTTGCGATATATGCATCATATATCTACGGAGATGGTCTGTTCGTAATCAAATTATGTTGGGATGTTACGTTTTGAGTTTAAGTAAAGAAAAACATTGACACAATAACGACCATAGTTTAATTATGCTGTGAAGAAGCAAGACAGATGAGAAGAGAGAACAAAGGAAAAGAAAAGATGTATAAGATCTATCAGTAGCAGCCTCCAACCACCTGCGAGATTGAAAGAGACAAGCTGAAGATACAGGGTGAACAAAAATAAAATTAACATACCAAGATTAATTAAAATTTCTCCCAGCATCTGCCGAACGAATACTTCACATAGATAGATAGATAGATAGATAGATAGATAGATAGATAGATAGATAGATAGATAGATAGATAGATAGATAGATAGATAGATAGATTTTTAAGGGGAGGAAGGGCAGAGAAAGAGGAAAAAATCTTCGTCCGATTATAGCCCAAGATAGGGCCCACACAATCATAAACGCAGGAAGCAGAAAATTGTGGTAAAACATTCTGGAATGCTCACTTTAATGATAATACTTTAATTAAAACCTGAAATGGAAAACAAAATATACCCTCACAGCGAAAACCGCTGCAGAAATCTCAGAAAAATATTTTAGTATACATAATAATAACAATCATGTTCAACAGAGTAAATATCCGGAAAAAAGAACGTCTTGTTTTAACAATATCTATAAACACAAAGTCAAGGCAAGGCAAGGCCATCAAAGGCTTCATGTTTCTAAAACATTACACTTCAACACTGATTTATTCAACTTTCAAGTTCAAGTTTTGTAAGAGTTTTACAGCACTTGCAACACAAATAGGTCACACAAGTGCTAACATTAGAGGTGTTACAAGAGAGTAACAAACACAAAAAAGGAAGGGAGAGATGCGGGAACGATTAAATGTTTGATAGGAAAGAAGTAGCAACAAATCACACCAGAACACCCACCAACCAGCCACACCAAGACTTTTGATAAAACAACCATCATAATATTAATCCACACATTAGGGACACGTAGAAAGCGCTGATTTACAAAAAAATATAATAGCGTAAAATTTATAATTTAATAACTACTCATCCAAATAATGAGATTCCAATTCTTAACGCTTATTGCACAAGGTACAATAGCGTTGCATAACATCTATACAAAAAATATTATTATGATAAAATGTAATAAACCTAATATTATTAGTAAAATATTCTATAGTGCGGTAAAAAAATTGTGGTCCAAATTTTCCTCAAATATATCTTTAACGGGAGAATCAATGTCACCCACACTTTGCACAACACTTTGTATCCTCTTATATTAACTTAATAATATTTTTTCACAACAATTGAGGCTTGATTAAAAAACTTTCCTGCATAAATTTATATAAAATACTACAAACCGCCTTCATGCAGAAAATGGGAGTGTTGACAACACTTCCCGCTTCTCACACACATGTTGCATACACATATGGCGCACGTCACAGCTCCTCAATGAGATTTTCTCAGTGGCAAAACTTGTTATAATTACAAGAAATTTATCTTATAGCGAACACATTTTTTTGCTCTAAAGATTTACAAAAACATGCTTTCAATGAAAATTATGTCACAATTAGAAAACAAAAATGATGTAATAGATTTTAAAAGAGATATTGCCCAAACTGTAAACCTTCTAAAATCTGTGGAAACCACCCGTTTTGATTTGTTATTAGTATTTAATAAAGAATTTTCTAGAATACAGATAACAGGTGTTTGGATAAAAAAATATTGATCTGTTCGGACAAATTGATACAAGTCGTTGTGCAAAAGATGGAAAATCTATGTTCAACAGTTTAAGAAATATTTGACAATAAGCTGAGCAACGAATTTTTGAGTACACTGTAATAATAGTATAAGCGTCGACTCCTCAGAGAAAGTGTAAGACCGTCATACTACGTCACTTTTCAAAATGGCGCATGGCGGAGTCTTTCACTAAGCAGTCAATATGTATAAGCATGCGCAAAGAAAGAGTACGGCATTCAGTGTCAAAATGCATGGAATGGTGGACTTAACTGAGGCAAAAATTCCATTGTAATAAGTTAAAAACACCCCAGTATATACAATATAAATACATATATAAATCGTCTCCTTAAAAGGAAAAATAAAGTATTTGTGACCTGCTGGGTTCCAATGTCTAACATGTCGCTCTTCTTCTTCTTCTTCTTCTTCTCCTTCTCCTTCTCCTTCTCCTTCTTCTTCTTCTTCTTCTTCTTCTTCTTCTTCTTCTTCTTCTTCTTCTTCTGCACTTCATCGTCCTCGTCCTCGTTATTGTTGTTGTTGTTGTTGTTGTTGTTGTTGTTGTTGTTGTTGTTGTTGACAATAATAATTTAAAAAACCCAACCTTTTCCAAATCCAAAGTAGCCGATGCTATTATACAATACGTTTACAGCGCCTTGTCACTTAACAAACCTAACTGAAGAGTAATAATTGACTTTAAAAAAAGGCAAATGTGATATTAAAAAGAAGCCGAGTCCAGCGCAATATTAGCTGTAAATCAGCTGATTGGGTTCCGGAGTAATGCAAAATATATTATACGTTTTAAAGTTTAATTTTGGTAAGAGTGTTACGGCACTTGCAAAAACAATTAGGACATATTAGTGCCCAAGGTTAGAGAGTTTACAAGTGAATAACAAACACACAAAAAGGAGGCGACATAAGGACACTTGATGTTTGACAGGAAGGAAGGAGCAAATCAGACCAGAGCACCCGCCAGGCACCCACGTAAGAATCCGCGACATGTTAGACATTGTGGAAATACAGGAGACACGACTCACAACCCACAACGTTGTAGCATACTGCACATTAGTGTCATGTAGACAGTATAAGTTACGTAGCAAATAAGCCTGGCATGCTGCTCTCTTTACTCGTGGATTTCTTTTTGTTTTTAGTAAGAATTTCATGGCGTTTGCGACACAAATTAGGTTGTAATGTAACAGTCGAAGGTTAGAAGTGTTACAAAGAAAACATGGAGGACGGATCAGAATGAATATAAATGTCGGAGGCTAGAGGTGTTACAAGAAAGTAAAATACAGAAGAAGAAGAAGAAGAAGAAGAAGAAGAAGAA